AAAAAAATCTTTTTGTTGTTGAGTTGTTGGAGTTTTCTATAAATTTTAGAGATAAGTCCCTTATCAGATACATTGTTGCCAAATATTTTTTCCCAATCTGTAGGTTCTCTTTTTACTCTTTTGGAGAAGTCTTTGGAAGCACATAAAAATTTAATTCTTAGAAGGTCCCATTCATCTAGTTTATCTCCAGCTGTTTGTGCATTTTGGGTTATGTTTGACAATCTGTTTATGCCATAAATTTGTTGTGTTGTTGTTATGTGCTTTCAAGTCAGACCTGACTCATAGTGTCCCCTCCTTGGGTTTCCAAGGCAGCATCACTATGGAAGTAGATTGTACAACCTTCCTTCCGATGAGTGGCTGATGGGTTTGAACCGCCAGCCTCTGTTTAGCAGTCAAGTACCTTAGGCACTATGCTACCTTGCCATAAATTAGGGCCCCTAAATTTGTTCCTGTTTTTTCCTTGAGGAACTTTATAGTTTTAGGTTTCATATTTAAGTCTTTGATTCACCTGGAGTTAGTTTTTGCATATGATGTGAGGCACAGATCTTTTTTCATTTTTCTGCCAATGTTTACCCAGTTTTGTCAGCACCATTTGTTAAAGAGACCATCTCTTCCCCATTTAATGGATTTCAGCCCTTTGTCACAAATCAGCTGACCATAGATCGATGGATCTATTTCTGGGTTCTCCATTCTGTTCCACTGGTCTACATGTCTGCTGTTGTACAAGGCAGTTTTCACTACTGTGGCTGTATAGCAGGTTTTGAGATCCAGGAGTGTGAGACCTCCTACTTTGTTCTTCTTTAATAGTGCTTTGCTTATTCGAGGTCTCTTTCCTTTCCATATAAAATTAGTGATTGGTTTTTCCATGTCCTTAAAGAATGCTGATGGGATCTGGACTGGGATTGCATTGAATGTATAGATTGCTTTGGATAGTGTTGACATTTTCACAATGTTCAGTCTTCCTATACATGAGTATGGTATGTTCTTGCATTTATGTAGATGTCTTATGGTTTCTTGGAGTAGTGATTTGTAGCTTTCTTTGTGCAGGTTTTCAGCAATCTTTTTACTGGTGTAGAGGAATCCAACTGATTTTTGTATATTGACCTTACCACTATGCTAAATCTCTCAATTAGTTCCAGTAGTTTTTTTGGTGAGTCTTTTGGGTTTTCTATGTATAGGATCATATCATCAGCAAATAAGGATAGTTTGACTTCTTCCTTACCAATTTGGATGCCTTTGATTTCCCTTTCTTGCCTTATTGCGCTGGTTATGACTTCCAATACAATGTTGAATAGAAGTGGTGATAGAGGTCATCCTTGTCTGGTTCCTGTTTGCAAGGGGAGTGGTTTCAGTCTCTCTCCACTGAGAATAATGCTGGCTGTTGGTTTTGCACATATGACCTTTATTATGTTGAGGAATGTCCCTTCTATTCCTATTTTTCTGAGAGTTTTGATCAGGAATGGGTGTTGGATTTTATCAAATGCCTTTTCGCATTGATCAATATGATCATGTGGTTATTTTCCTTTGTTTTATTTATGTTACGGATGACATTGATTGTTTTTCTAATGTTGAGCCATCCTTGCATACATGGTATGAACTGTACTTGGTCATAGTGTATTATATTTTTGATATGTTGTTGGAATCTATTGACTAGTATTTTGTTGAAGATCTTTGCATCTATATTCATTAGGGATATTGGTCTGGAGTTTTCCTCTTTAGTGATGTCTTTACCTGATTTTGGTATCAAGCTTATGCTTGCTTCATAAAATGAGTTAGGGAGGATTCCATCCTTTTCTATGTTCTGGAATAGTTTG